CCTGGACCACCAACACCTCCAGCCTGATCAAGAAGGCTCACCAGCGCCTATTCTTCTTAAGGCAACTAAAGAAGAACCAGCTTTCATCAGCCGTCTTGGTGAACATCTACCGCTGCACAATAGAGAGCATCCTGACAAACTGTGTCACAGTCTGGTATGGAAGCTGCTCTGTTGCTGAGCGTAAGGCACTGCAGCGGGTGGTGAAAGCTGCCCAACGCATCACAGGGACCACACTGCCAGCCATAGAGGACATCCAGAAGAAACACTGTTTGCGCCGAGCACGCAGTATTCTGAAGGACACCTTTCACCCCGCTCGCAGACTGTTTTCTGTCCTGCCCTCCGGCAGGCGCTTCAGGCTCCCCCGGACAAAAACCAGCAGACTGAGGAACAGCTTTTTCCCCAGAGCTGTCTCCCTCCTGAACTCTGCCCCCCACTGACTCTTTTGCCCCCCAATACACCCCCCACTCTCCTCTAACTTAAACTCCTCGCAATAACTGCACTGTTTAACATTTGCACATTAAAAAATTTGCACATTCACAGCACCAGATTGAACTGTTTACTTATTGAACTGTACATAACCACTGCATATGGACATTTGTAATTATGAACACCCACTATAAATATACACTTGTAATCATGCTTATTTATCTGCATACTACTGATTATTAATAGCAACCTGTACATATATTCATATATTGTTACATATACACTTGTAATCATGTTTATCTATCCCTGTACATATATTCATATATTGTAACATATACACTTGTAATCATGTTTATTTATCTGCACACTACTGATAATTAATAGTAACCTGCACATATATTCATATATTGTAAATCTGCTCATATCTTATCCAACCTGTATATAATGTTCATAGTACATCCATCTGTAAATATCACCATAGTTTTTCTATAACTGCACTTTATAACTTATTCTTGTATCCTGCACTTGCTGCTATTGCACTGCTGGTTAGACCTAAACTGCATTTCGTTGCATTGTACTTGTACATGTGTAATGACAATAAAGTTGAATCTAATCTAATATATATATATTTATCTAATATATATATTTATATATATATAAATACATTTATATATATAAATACATTTATATATATATATATATATATATATATATATATATATATATATATATATATATATATATATATATATATATATATATATGTATTTATTTGTATATATATGTATTTATTTGTATATATATGTATTTATTTATATATATGTATTTATATATATATATATATGTATGTATTTATTTATATATATATATATATATATATATGTATGTATTTATTTATATATATGTATTTATATATAATTTTGTTTAACAAACTAGTTTGTGTTTTGGCTGTGGAAGTATAGCAGACCTTGTCTTGATGCACTTCACATCAAATAATATTTGTTCTTTTTGACCAATAAAAAATACTTTAAAATTAACATATGGATTATACCAACTGTAATCTGTTCCAAAAAGATATATGAAGTATAGCTTGGCTATATTTTAGCTTCTGCCAGTCTGCTACACAGCTGTGTGGTGATGATTTGTTTCACTTCATGAAATATAAGGATTTAGTTAATGCTGTACTGTAAATGTTGTATCACAGACCTTTGATTTTATCCTTGTATTTTGGGAACTCTCATTTTCTTCATCCTAATTGCACTGAGTTCAGGTGAAGGAGTGTTTTCATTTGTAAAACTGGCTGCAGTTTAACATCAAACTGGCAGAGAAACATGAGGTTTGCTGAAAGTCTGGTTATTTTACCGACAATGAAGGACAAGTATTACAGATTTCAAGGGAAATATTTTATTAAAGAGGAAAGAGCTTGACAACAACAGATTCTATCAGGATTCTATCAGATTTTTCTCTTAATGAATGCCCTTAAATATTGTAGTGGTGTTGACAGCAAACATCAAGTGTTCATTAAAATTGTGTTCTGTTTACAGAAGTTTTAAACTGTGCGGTGACACAGCAATGTTCAGCTTTAATGAGGCACCTTAATTGAAACTACTATATAATATATTTTTAACACAGTGTTACAGTGATGGAGGTCCAAACACAAGCAACAAGGCTGCAGCAACAATGTGTTATCATTGTCTTTGGCAAGATTGAAAAGCCAAAGGTTTACTTGCTTTATCCTCAAATTCATAAAATGTGTATCAGGTTTTTAACAACTTCTCTTCCAGTGAGGTTGATAAAAAATTATATTCCAACTGAAGACTTAATAGCTCTTTATATAAATCAAGTCAAGTTGGCTTTATTGTCATTTTAACAATAATCTTTTTAATTTTTGTGCGTGTGTGTGTATCAGTCCAGTTTCTTCATGTGTAGAAGTCTGATGGCTTATGAAAAGAAACTGTTGCACAGTCTGAATGTGAGAGCCTGAATGCTTCAGTATCTCTTTCCAGACAGCAGCAGAGTGAAGAGTTAGTGTGAGGTAAGTCTGTGATCAGCCACAATGCTGATGGCTTTTCGGATGCAGTGTGTGGTGTAAATGTCCATCACAGAAGAGAAGAGTGAATCCAATGAGCTTCTCAGCCATCCTCACTATCGCTGTATTGTCTTGCGATCCGATACGTTGTAGTTCCCAAATCAAGCAGTGATGCAGAAGCTCTTGATGGTTACTCTGTAGAAGGTTGTAAGGATGTGTGGTAGATGTACCTTTCTCAGCTGTGGTTCTTCGCCAGGTGAACACCTTGAAATTTGGTGATCTCCACTGAAGTGCCGTTGATGTTCAGCGGAGAGCAGTGATGTTTCCTCCTGAAGTCAACAACCATCTCTTTTGTTTTGTCCACATTCAGAGACAGGTGTTTTCTTTACACCAGTCCATCATTTTCGTTCCTGATGATGAGACCCACCACGGTTGTGTTGTCTAAGAATTTGACAATGTGGTTCAGGCTGTGTATTGCTACACAACCGTGGGTCTGAAGGGTAAACAGCAGGGGGCTGAGAACACAGCCCTGAGGAGCCCCGGTGCTCAGTGTGATGGCATTGGAGGTGCTGTTCGTGATTGAGAGCCAGGTGCAGTGTTGGTGGAGCAGTTAAGCTTCCATAGACGAATGTGTTCCAAAAGAGCACATCATCTAAAGGTTTAGATTTCAGAGACAACCAGAACATAACACAGACAGGAACATAAACATGTATACATGGCATAACGCATAGCATGCAGAAGGTACATGTAGACCCATAAACAGTGACTGTAGACTCTAATAAAAGTGCCTCCTGGAGCTCCTAGAAGAGCCTGCTTGGTGATTTCAATCTTCTATGAGAGAAGGATCCCATATGTCCAATGCAGAAACCCGAATTTAATGTAGAATTTAGACTTTAATTTAAACAACCTTTAATTTAGAAACATGAAATACGGCATGTACGCTGGAGAGAGTTTGAGGCGGACTGCCACTGGACGAGTGATTTTGATGACATTAAACAAGCCATTATATTTGGGAGCAAGTTTATTACATGCGGTGCAGAGAGGAACATTACTAGATTACTAGACCAGTGGAGATTGGCTTAAGTCTTGGTCCGCATACCCACTTGAAGAAAGGTCTGTTTAGCCCAGCTGGGTGGGTGGAGGCAATCGCCTTTCAATGGATTCTAAGACACTTAACATTGCAACATACATTCATGGTCTTGATTGGCTCTCTCTGTTTGAAAGTTATTCTGAAGATGGAAACCAGATAAATGACTAACAGTTAAATAAATTATCTGCAAAATTTATAAATGAACCAAGGCCCTCTGTCAGAAACCACATCTGTTGAGAGGCCTTGAATGCAAAAGAAACATGATTAATGACAGTTCATCTCTGAATTTTGGAGATAGTTTTGTAATTTATTGGGTGTCGCTTTCTCTCTTGCTGAGGGGTAATTTGGGCAGAGGGATTAAATTATTGAAAGTCTTAGAAACAGAGCAAACCAATACAAAATCCTTTGTCACGAGTCATAACTGGCCACCAGAATCGTTGTTTAATTAGAAACAAAGTAAGACTCACCCCTTGATGACATGCTAACTTTGAAGAATGACCTAAACAGATGACACCAGAATGTAATTCTTAAATATCAAACGTTGTGAAAGATCTAATTTGTTAAAAAAGGACACCCCATGCAGATTTTCGAAGCCAGAAGACATCAAGAGCAACGTATAAGTGTTCTGCAGCGTGATGGCATTCAACCCTCAATAGTCTATACAACGACGGATGTCTTTCTTTTCCACAAAAAAAATCTTGCCCCTGCCGGTGATGCAGAGGAATGGCTGATCTTAGCTGCTAGAGAATCAGAAATATATTTCTGGGGATGAGAGCGAATAAAGTTTGCCTTTAGGTAGAGATGTACTTGGGAATAACTCTATAGCACAGTCATTGGGTCGATGAGTAGGTAAAGAAGCAGCTTGCGACTTACCGAACACTCTTCAGGTCAAGGTAATCGCTAGGCCATTTTAATGCCATTCTCTTTGCATTCTTTAATAATTCAAAAGCCATTCGACAAAAAGTGATTTTGCTTTGTGGCATGCATTGTTTTGGTTGGTTCATCTTTCTTCAAGTTAAATTTAGAAGCATACATACAGCTTATTATTTTTATTTTTCTATCGTGTGCCCATACAGACCCACGCTGTCACAATCTAATTTGAATACAGAATCGATTTTTAACTTTTGAAAATCCATTCAGATTTTTTCCCTCCCACTTCTACATGATAATTATAATTCAACCAAATCATAATTTAAGAGTAGGTCCACACCCATAATGTATGTGTATGTGTTTTTGGTGAAATGTGCTTCCTGCATCTATGTATATTATTATTTCTAATTATGGTTTTAAGCTTGTTTCTGTATGTACTGGTCATGTAAACTGTAAACAGAGTCAGTAAATAAGTAATAATAATAATGTCATTAAACAGGAAATACCACCCCCTCCCCCCTCACTTCTCTCTCTCTCTCTCTCTCTCTCTCTCTCTATCTCTCTCTCTTTCTCTTTTTCTCACAGGGCAGGAAGGGACGGGGCTCAATATTTGTGTGGGCATCTGGAAATGGTGGCCGGAGTCGTGATCACTGTTCATGCGACGGTTACACTAACAGCATCTACACAATATCCATCAGCAGCACAGCAGAGAGTGGCCGCAAGCCCTGGTATCTTGAAGAGTGTTCCTCGACCCTTACCACCACCTACAGCAGTGGAGAAAATTATGATCGCAAAATTGTAAGTTACCAAGAACATTGCAAGACAATTGTACTTGCATCTTTAGCCTTGAGTTGACTTGTTTTTAAGCATTTATGAAAGTTACCACATTGACTGTGACTATGTTTTTGAAGACAAAAAACATTTTAGAAAAAAAATTTAAAAAAGGCATATTATGCTAATAGCACCATGGCTGACCGAAGCCTGTAGCACTGGAGCTCAAAATTCATTGAGGCCTAATTTATGCCAATTCAACTGTAGGGCCAACAGGTCACAGTGCAGAACAAAAAAGTTTTTCTTAAGTATTTCCCCAAATCAAATGTCAAACAACCTACCAGTTCAAAGGGAAGTAGAAAGTCATATTAGAATCACACCAGCTAAGTGCATTATTGCATATCATCATGAAACTATCAAGATGGAGACAACAGAAGCAAACAAATGTTATTTTATAGAATTAAATAACACACACACACACACACACATTTTTTATTTGTTATTTTTGTTTCTTCATGACTGTAATGTTTATTATAACATTAAAAATTAGGATTTTTTGGTTTAAAGAACCGCTGTGACCACTGTGAATTGAAATGGCTTTACACTGTGCTCACAATTTGTTATATAGTTGTCCTGGACTTTTACTGTTTTGTGTTGAATTTGTAGCTTACCAAACTCAGCAGCAATATATTGTCATTGTTGTCAATCCATAAGGAGAAGATAAATCTGCCAACCTTCTCCTCAATCCAAATGCCTGAACCCTGGCATCTTCAAATAAGCAGAACAGACTGTTCTCCATTTTTTCTTTTTTCTTTTTTTTTTTGTTTGTACAGTACGTTCGTACACAAATGGTAATGCTGCTACACACCCTCCTTACCTGGCTCAGGCAAACACTGCCTTTTGCCTTTAACTCTGCCCCAAAACACCAAGGCCCAATCCCAATTCTACCCCTTAGTTTGCACGTTCACGTCAAGGAAAAGGGGTGTCCCAATTCTCTTTAGCTTGAAGGCGTAGGGCTGAGGGGAAGGGGTGAATAGCCCTTCGAACAAAGATTTTTCAGGACCACACTTCAAACCAAGGAGTAAGAAAATTTCCCAGAATACACCAGCCACAAGGGCAGTATTGCTGAACTCAAAAGGAGATCCACAAATTAGTATTTTTTGTCATTATTACGAGTTTTTACAACAAACAAGCACATGTTTTATTGTATTCATAACCGCATTCGTGTTTTACCTTCATGCAAGACAAAAAAACGCTAAAATAAAAACAGTCCAACAACATTCTGACACATGATGACGCTCAAATATCCTTATAATAACTTTTTACAGTGTCTGCTATAATGTTAATGTTGTGTTTGGTGTGTTTACATAGATAAATATGGCCACTGTGTAAGTGCACAGTACAGTTACAATCTTACTGCCACTTTAGATTGTTATGATAACATGATATGTGCCTTCAGTGATTTCTTGAAGATAAATACCGAAAAATAACACAACTGGAAAAACTACAGCAGTCACGATCGTCTGGTCTCATAAGAAGCAAGAGATTGCAATGACATTGTACAGGTTATGTAGTGGTGTCCCAAATCTTAGGGGTACATTTTGAAGCCCTTCCTCTTCACACTTGGTTTTAAGGGCCTAGGGGACAGGGTAGGGGTACAAAAATAGAATTGGGATTGGGCCCAGATAACCTGCTTTGCCCCAAGGTTTCTGAAAAAGTGGGCAGAAAAAAGCCTGTGATTGGCCCCAAGGAACTCCATACTACACTAACAAAATTAACAATACTTCAGACACTCACAAATTATTCAGGATGCTCAATACTGTGCTCTGTCCTTCCCCCCCACCTCATCCGCTCATGATTTGGCCTCGCTTTTTACACAAGTGGCCTTTTGGCCTCATTTTTAACTCAAATCAGCAATTTGTTTCCCGACACATCTATCCCAATTCTTCATCAAGCAATACCCCATGCTGAGAATTCACTCTCCTCCTCCTCACTCCTTCTCCTGAGGAAGAAGTATTCATATTTGCTCATCCCTTGCACTAGCACATTCCCAACTACTTTTTATGCATGCCCGAGTGCGCAAAACCCCCCTGCTCAAAAACATCACTCAACACCTCATTGGTTGTAAATTACAGACCAGTCTTTCTCTTTTTTTTTCATTGGCGAAACAGTTGTTTTTAACTAAATGTCCATATTTCTATTTCACAATAACCTGCTGGATGTAGCCTAATCAGGTTTCAAATGTGGACATTCCACTGAGACTGCACTACATTCAGTCACTAAAGCCCTGCGGATTGCCAGAGCAGTTTCTAAATCATCCATTCTGCTTATACTGAATCTGTCTGCTGCTTTTGAAACAATAAATCACCAGATTCTACTTCCCATACACCCCTCAATGGGCATCACTAAAACCCCACTCTGCTGGTTGGAGTCTTACCTCACCAGCAAATCATACAGTGTTGCCTGGAGAGGAGAGGTATCCAAAGCTCACCAGGTGGCCACTGGAGTACCTCAGGAATCTGTTGTAAGTCCCCTACGATTTTCTATTTATGCATCGACTTGTGGTGCCATTGCAGAGATGCTATTAATCACTTTCCAAAACCTTCTCATTTAATGAGCTGTAATCATTCAATAGTTTAATGTGAAGTACAGATAAATATTCAAGTGGTAAAATTCATGTTCGCTTCAGGCTGTCAATCGTTCTCCATGCATTCACAAAGCGAACTGCACGCTATTTGGAGTGGAGGGGTTTATTACCTGCTCTTACCTACTCTTCACACACAAAGTAAGCCTAAACTTTAGTAAAGGCTCAACGATACATTTCACTGAGCCTCAATGCACTGATTTCTTTTATTTGTGATGCCAAGTTTTAGAAATGTATGCAGATACAGGAGAGCTGTGCACTGCTGTGTGTCAGTGATGCATCAAGTGTGTCATTCTTACTTTAGTTGTGCTGACCGAAGTGCGCTGGTCTGTAAAATTGTTCTCACAATGCATTTCTGTTCTCTTATCCTACCAAGTTTATTCTTCTTAGGGAAATATTGTCAGCGTTGCGAATAGTTTGTAAAGCCTGGTTTATTGTAGTCAAAGTAGTTGATTTAAACAAATAAAATTGAAACTGATGGAATAGATGATTTTGTCATTAACAGTGAAAATATATAGGTGATATAGGTCAATATAAGCTGCACTGAAACTGTGATTATATCACTGTAATATTTATTATATTAATATTTTATTTAGCAAGTTTGTAAAGCATGCAAGCTGACCTTGTTTTGAACATCACTTCAAATGTTATTCATTCTTCTTGTTTATTTTGTAGATAACTGAGCAACAAAAAATGCATAAATTAAGATACAAATTATACCAAATGCAATTCGTAAAAAAAATTCAAAAATATATTTTTTTCCAACAAAAATATATAGACAATGAACTTAACTGAGGCAACACAGGGACTCAGTGGTACTTTCCTCACAGCAAGAAGGTCGCTGGTTCGAGTCCTGACTGGGTCAGTTGGCATTTTTGTGTAGAATGGATGACACACCCCCTGTGTTGGCATGGATTTTTTCTGGGTGCTCTGGTTTCCCCTACAGTCCAAAGACATGCGGTATAGGTGTTACGGTCACACAATGAAGACAAGGATGGTTATCTCTTTTTTTCAATTTATTCAAAACAATGTGGATAGTTCAACAGAAGAAGCAAGTAAGTGATATTCTTGGATAGAGAGCAGTCTTGTAACCAGTTCACAATGTAAACGAGGATCTTTATTCAGCCATCTGAATATAAAGTCACTTCCCCTTAATCACAGCCTGTGCATCCACAGTTTAGGTGAAACGTCCACAGGAGAAGGTAAACATCCACGGAAGAATGCGAGCAAGGGAGAAGGTAAGGTGAACCGTCTGACTTTGATTCCGTTGTATGACTGAAAAAGGTCATACAGAGTCTTTATAGGGGACTGGTGATTTCTGGTGCAGGTGTGTATAAATAGTATTCTGGTGATTGTGCATGGGTGGGGTGAGAGGTGGCTGGAGAGGGAGAGTGAGTATTGGAGCTGCAGGAATGAGATGGTGAGTGAAAAAGTTATGATTGGAGCAGCAGGAGCGAGCCGAGGATGTGACAGCTTCTCCAAAACAGCTGGAACCAGAGGCAATGGGTGGGCGAATTTGACTGTGGCTGCATTCAGGACCCTGCAATCTATACAAGACCTTAGTCCTCCATTCTTCTTGGCAACAAAGAAGAAGCTGTATGCGGCTGGCAAGGTTGATGGTCTGATGAACCCTTGACTGAGAGCCTCATTGATGCAATCATCCATCGCCTCATGCTCAGGACGGGGATAAATATCATAAGGGATAAATCCAAGCGGTAGTTTGGAGTTAGAAAGCAGGTTGATACTACAGTCCCAGGACCAATGTAGAGGTAACTGTGTGGCTCATTCCCTGCTCAAAACATAGAGATAAGGGGTGTAAATGGACGGGATAGAGGCATTTGGAGAGGGAGGTGAGTTTTCCTTTGAAATGGAGTGAACAGAAAGGGTGGTCCGATGCAGAGTGTGAACAGCAGGGGAAGCAATGTGACCGTTTGTGGTGCATGCGGAGCTCCATCATTTGAGGTCTCAGGTGCTCCAGTTAATGTCAGACTGGTGTTCTGCGAGCCACAGTCTGCCCAGGATGACATCCACGTTAGCTCAGGGGAGAATGAGTAGGATTAATACTTCTCGATGATGATGTGGGGACTAGATGATGACTTCTCTGATATGGCGAGAGATTTTACCATGCCTAATGGTGAGTCCTGAATAGTGTTTTTTCTATGTAATTTTCGTTATGTACTGTAGGTATATGATGTTGGCCGAGGAAGAGGTGAAGTTGCCAGCCATTTCGGAATTCACCAGTACATGTATGGGGACGATACGAGAAATCACGATTAATTAGCTTGTATATGGGGTATATGGGACACAGATGGAGTTAATGTGATTTTACTCACCATTGGGCTAGGCAGGTGGACTGGGCTGGCCGAGATGAGATGGTTGGATTCTCCACAGTACAGGCAGAGGTTGTTCCGAATGCTTCACAGCCATTCGGCGGACTCAAGATGGTAGGCATTGGTGATCATGTGTTCTTCCGGGTCTGGTGGTGGTGATGGAGCTCTAGTAGATAAAATAGGGTAAACAGACTAAGATGATGAACAGGCAGAGATGTGCTTTGACACACTGATGGCTTTCTCAATAAAAGTTTCTAGGTTGGCATTGTCATCATGTTTTCAAATTTGAGGGTTTAAACCTTTCCGGAAAGTGGCAAAGAGGGCCACTTGATTCCAGCCGCTGCTAGCGGCAAGTGCTCAGAATTGCAATGTGAATGGTGGAGTTACCTTGCTTTGAGTTTATCAGTTCGTCGTGTAAAGATAGTGGGGTGAGTGGTACAGCAAACACCTCCTTTAAGTGACTCAAGAAAGACTGGTAAGTTGCCATCATGGGACTGTTTGCATTCCACAGTGCATCAGTCCACTGTAGATATTGCTCTGTAAGAAGGGAGATTATGAAAGCAACTTTGGAAATCTTATTGAGAAACTGGTTAGCATTAGCCTCTATGTAGAGTGCATATTGCAGCGAAAAGCCATTGCAGGAATTAGGATCGCCTGAGTAGCTCATGGGGCGAGCCAAGGACATACTGGTTATGACCACCGGGGTGGTAACTGCGCTCATGGGAGTGGAAGGCAGCGTCTGACGCATGGAATGCACCATTCTAGCAAATGGGTCCAATGAGATTCCATTTAGCACTGCGTTAGCTTCCATAGCTGCGTGTGTTTGTTATCTGGGCTGGAATCCTGTCACGGTAACAAAATAATAACAAGGATGGTTATCTCTTTTCATCAATTTATTTAAAACAATGTGGATAGTTCAAGAAGAGAATCAGGTAAGTGATATTCTTGGATGGAGAGCAGTCTTGTAACCTGTTCACAATGTAAACAAGGATTTTCATTCAACCATCTGAGTATAATGTCACTTCCCTTAATCACAGCCAGTGCATCCACAGGTTAGGACAGGGGTTTTCAAACTGTGGAGTGCACTGCAGTTCATTTCAAGTTTCACTTTCAGTCATGAACATATTCACGCTCCCCTGACAAACTAGGGTAATAGATGCGAATATAGAGTAAGGACTTAAGGGAGTTGTTTTAATGAATAGCCGAATAGAAAGAAAAAAAAAAACCTCTGCATTTCGTAATATGTGTGTGTGTGTGTGTGTGTGTGTGTGTGTGTGTGTGTGTGTGTGTGTGTGTGTGTGTGTGTGTGTGTGTGTGTGTGTGTATGCGGCCCTTTACTGATAGTCGTGTGTGTGTTGATCTTGTCACAAAATGCGGCAGAGTCTTACATGGCGGTAATAGTTTGATTGCGGTGTTTATCTCAATAATGCCACTAATATCTGCATACTCCACATGTAAATCCATTTCAGTTTAGTTCAGTTATGACTTTAGTCGAATTAAAGTAATCAAAAATCGCTGTTTACATGCTAGACCCTTAATCAGAGTATTGTCTTAACCATATTAAAACCTTATTAAAGAATTGTTGCCCATGTAAACATACTCAATGTTCGACTCAACCACACTGTCAGGGCTTTGCGATCTTGGCTTTGTGAAGCAGCATTTTCTGTCTGTATGTATATCAAAAGCAAGTATGCTATGGCTCATTCTTATTGACAGTGGAAGATGATTCACGGTTAGTCGTGTCAGGAATCCAACCACAGAATAGCATGTTGTCCTCACAGAAACATGCTCAGCCATCATACTGGATCAGTTAAGGTATTTATGTTTCAATGTAATTAATTCTACGCACTTCACACGCGGGGGCGTGTGTCATAAAAGTTTGAAACTCCCTGGGTTAGGAGAAACATCCATGGGAAAAGGGAAACATCCACGGAAGAAGGCAAACAAGGGAGAAGGTGAGGTGAACCATCTGACTTCCATTCCAGCCGTTGTACGACTGGAAAAGGTGAGTCTTTATAGGGGACTGGTGATTGCTGGTGCAGGTGTGTATAATTAGTAATCTGGTGATTGTGCACGGGTGTGGTGAGAGGTGGCTGGAGAGGGAGAGTGATGGAGCTGCAGGAAAGAGATTGCGAGGAAGAGTGAGGATTGGAGCTGCAGGAATGAGCCGGGAATGTAACAATTGTTGAATTAAAAAAACTAAATTGGCCGTAGTGTATGTGTGTGTATGTAGAAGTGTATGGGTGTTTCCCAGTACTGGGTTGCAGTTGAAAGGGTAAAACGTGCTGTTTAAAACAAGTGCTGGATAAGCTGGTGGTTCATTCCACTGTGGTCTGTTGTCTGTTAACAAATTGTTTTGTTGTAATTATAAATATATACCAATACAAATACACATTTTTGGAAGAAATGTAATTAAATCCATTTAAGAAGTGAAACCTATGTAATGTATACATTAATTCCACACAGGCGGATATATTTCAAGTGTTTAAAACATGTTTAACACTCAACAATGCAATTTACTGTGGAACAAGGTCCTTGCACAATATTGCCCAGACCCTAATAATAAATGGAGCTATTCCATCTGCTTCTTCGAACCACCAGTGCTTGGGCTTTAATAATAACAAACAGCAATTCCACTAGTGCTCATATGCTGATAAACATATCAATTCTATTAGAATCCTTACACTTCCAGTGCTTGGACCCTAATAAACATATGGATCCATAGCCAACTAAAATGTGAAAAGTCATTAAATCATTACAACAAAGTTAGAACTAACCTTGATTTCACAAACTTGCCATAAAGACAGCTCAACTTATTTTAAAAGGAAAAGTCTTTTGTAGTGCTACTATTTCATGTTAATCATGTTCATTTTATCATTTACAATACATGTGCTCTTAAATCACCAAGCATATTTCTCTTTTTGGTAGATCACTACAGATTTGAGACAGCGTTGCACAGACAGTCACACTGGAACATCAGCATCAGCTCCAATGGCAGCAGGGATCATTGCTCTTGCTCTGGAAGCCAAGTAAGGCTCTAAACCTCTCACCAAACTCTACTGTATTTTTCAGCTGCGTCAGAAATGGCTTATCTGTTTATGTTATTCCATCTGTGAAATTTGCATATTAAACACAAATCACAAAAGGATCATACATCGCAGTAATTTTACCCTCTTTTTGACCTTCTCAATTAAACAATGTTTTGTTTTTGCTACATTTGTGCATTATTTACCTGAGTTTTAGTTAACCATTTTACATAAGGGGTGAGAAGACATAACCCACTAGACAAGAAGACTAAAAACTAGGAGCTGAGTTTTGGGACCTAAATTTGGGTTGCCTGAATTAACTGTAATACATCTTTTCCAGAGATTACAAGCAATAACATGTTGTTCCTGCAGAGTCCCATAATTTGTATAGAATGAGAATACAAGTGAGAATAACTGCCAGAATTTTAACAGAGATTACAATCAATAATCAGTTATTATGAGATATAATGAGAATTATGTTCCACTGCTATTTCAAATATGATGCTCAAAACAGTTTCTATTTGTCTGGTTTGCAGTGTTAATTTTGTTGACAAAAAAAAAGACAAAAGAAAATCTGTGGCGAACAACTTTCTACCCATGATTAATAATAAAAATGAAGATGATGATGATGATGACAGCTATAACAAAAACATAGTGTATTTTCTTGTGTGAGATGAAAATGTGAGTGGACATTTTTTTGGAAAATATCCAATCAGAATTATCAATCAGTCTTGGCGTGTGATGCGTAAGATGTACTTGAAAAGTAACACCTTGAAAAGGTAACTGATTCACCGTAGTGGTGTTTGTCTGATAAAACTATAATGTAAATAGAAACATATGAGGAGGAAAAAGTACAGAAAATAATTTGGTCAATTTCACATTTGATATCAGGACAAAAATACTGTGTAAACTGTGTGGAGAGGAAATTGCTCATTAAAAAAAAAAATAATAATAATAATCTAAAGCAAATCTCCAAGCCAGGGAATCATCTTGAAATTCATACAAAGATAAACTACATTTTTTATATTATTTTATCTATCAACTGAAATTGTATAGCCTCTCGCTGACCTGTAGAGAACTGACATTAGATTGTACATTACAAGTTAATGACATACTAAGCATAAACATTATTTGTTGCTGTCCTCAGTTTGAATCAGTACGTTTTAAATTCATGTGATCATGCCATTAAATTTGGCAAAGAGTTGTTTACTTATGTGATTTCATTTTACAGTGAAGCAAAGGTGCACTTATTGTTCTACAAGTAGCCTGCAGCTACAGTTTAGCTCTAACCTGAACAAACTCGAGCTATATTCACACGGGCTGTCTGCATGGTTCCCACACTCCTTAAAAGTTCTTGAATTTCACACACACAAATTAAAGGCTTAAAAAGTACTTGAAAACAAACACAGTTTTTTAAAAGTGCTTGAATTAAATTTTAAATAAAATTTGTTTGTGGTGTTATTTTAAACGTTGTACTAAAATGAGCAAAAAAAGAACAAATTATCTGATACCCAGATTTCCATTGGATGTGTGTGGCACTAGAACTGATTGCTGCCACTCTAGTCAGTGCTAGTGTTTACAGGGTTTATGTGAGACCTTAAAAAGTGTGTAAATTTATTTAAATACATTTTTAAAAATTGATGTGACTTTAATTATTCTTTGTGGATTTGCCTTTTCATGTGACAGGTCATTTATATAGGTATAGTATTAAGCTACATCTCTTACAAGGAGGAGAGAAATAGAATACGTGGCTAAATGCATCCTAAATTTATCAATTAAAATTTGTTATCCTCTATGAATATATGTATCATTTCATATGATGATATCAGTTTTTCCTGCTTAGAAAATTGAGGCAGCCACCTTCATATTTTATTTATTAGCTTGGCCTACATGGCCTCTCTTGTAATTTAATAAAAATAATAAATAAATAAACAGATAATTAGCAAAATTTTCAAAAAATATTGATATGGGATTTTTGTCAATATTACACACCCTATGCAGAGTAATAATTTTAATTTCATCAGATATTAAAAATGCCTTCAACCTTAAATTTAAAGCCCACTTATGCAGATTTTTAAAAAAATGACTAAATGAGATTTAAGTAAACTGATTTACAAAATAATTTTGACTTGAGTTTATTCATTAATAAGTAACATCTCTGTTAATGATTGTGCAAATGTTTAATGTTAACCAAATTGAAAATGTTATTTTGAAAAATTCTTAATTTAAAATGTTTTATTTTGCATAGCTAGAATTGAAAAAAAATATAAAAAAGGTTTTAATTAATATTTTAGCAGTGTTTCGAAAACTACACTTACACATCCTAAACTTTATCATTACTCTGACATTTTTAATGTAAATATCAAGTGTAAATTAAATCTTAAGTACAGTAATAACTTTAATGATGCTGCATATGCTCGGGATATGAATTACAAAGGTGCTTAATTTAAAATTAATAGTGTTTTAAAGAAACCTTGAAATTGTGGCTCACGAAAGAGAGGGAACCCTGTGTCTGCCTCAGCCACAATTGTCATACTGTAATTGACAATACTGCAGTACTGTGATATGCGTGTATTGGCAATTGCTATCGATATGCAAGACATTGAAAGTGCCTTGAAGTAAAGCCTGCAATAGACTGACATTGCAAAGTATACTTAAAGGGCATCTATGGTAAAAAATCTACTTTTCGAGCTGTTTGGACAGATGTGTGTAAGTATAGTGTATAGACCGTCATATTGGTGTGATATAAACACACACAGTCCTTTTTTTTTTAATTTAGCAACATAAAAACGGTGGACCAATTGGAGCGGTTTTCAAAGCGACTGCAACTTGACATAAGAGTGCGGTCCCCACGTCCACCAATATTGATTTACAGGCGCGTCATCATATCCTCAGTTTGTTGATTCACGTCCGCCATTTTCAGCGAGAGTCAAAGCAAAATTGCTAAAGGAACACCCCTGCTCTATTTTTAGATGTAAGGCTTATTGGGCTCAACAAAAGATCAATATTCTCCACAATATCACTCTAATCGGAATTATTGCTTGTATCTTTAGGTAGGTTTGCAAACGTGTACTATTCATTGCGTCTACCTAAAACTTCAGCCGTTTGCATTTCTTGAGGTCACAGAAGCTTCCTGTGATCTTAACTAGGTGCAGCTGGAAAAGTGCAAGCGCGTTGCTTCATGTGCGCGTCTCTCCATTGGAAATAATATAACAAACTTGCCTGCAGGTCGCACACAAGAAGCGCTGCTCTGCGTGGTGTGACGCTGACGCAGCACCATACAATTTGGTATTCTGGGTGTGGGTTTCTGTCAGAGTACACACAATGGTGCTTCAAACCGGCAGCTGGTTGCCGTGGACAGCCGCCGTTGTGTTTACTCTGATAGAAGCCTGTGTTTGGAGTTCTAGAATGCGTGGCGCAATGATTCGGGACACTTGATGTTTCTGCTTTGCCACAGAGAGTGTCCGGTGTGCCGTGTTGCGGCGCATCCGGTGCCTGAGTCAAAGTTAATTCAGTGTGCGTGTTTATTAGTCTCGGTGTACAAGCGTGACACTTTAATCTAGCACACAGTTGTATGTAAAACTATAGAAAGACACAAATGATTTTGTACTTTCTGCTTGGTCTGTGTACGAATCGTACATGTACGGCTGAATGCTGAACCTCTCACTCCATCTCCTTCTCACAATCTGTCTGTCTGTTGCAAACTTAGAGCGGGTGAACTCTTGGCCCCACCCCCTTGTTACGTTGGGCGAAAAGCCGAAACTAATTTTCATGTGAAGCAACACGCCCCTAAAACAGCAAACTGTGTACATGCCCCCAACTTGACACTTTTGAACACAATATAATAAAAACATCTGAACTGTGTTTTAAACTGAACCTAAACTGGCACACTCAGAAAAATACTAATATTAAATCATAAAAAAGAGGTAAACTATGTGCCCTTTAAACTATTTTCAATTCAATTAAATTCAGCTTTATTTTTATAGCGCTTTTACAATGTAGATTGTGTCAAAGCAGCTTCACATAAATGGTCATAGTAACTGAATCAGGGTAGTTCAGTTTTTAGTGTTTAAGTTCAGTTCAGTTTAGCTCAGTTCAGTGTGGTTTGAAGTCATTATTGAGAGTCCAAAAACTGAAGAGCAAATTCATCGATGAGTAGCTTTTCAGTTCCCCTTCGGTTGGGGAACTTCAGTGCCATGAATGGGAGGATTCGGATCAGAAGCCGCTTGTCTGGAGAGTATTGAACGGGCCAATGAATGAAATTAATTGGCAGCGTAAGCTTGCGCAGGTGTGCGGCATCTGCAATTATCTCAGCATATAAGCACACCTGAAGCCAGCAGACGCCATCCTTTTCGCTTCAGATCCTTTCTGAGTGAGTCGATGAGGGTTCCTCTTGCTGATCAGCACTTCAGAGCGAACGAGTGTGTCTCCCGGTCCAGAGTGGGTCTTCGCGGTGGCAGACGGTCGAGCTGGGTTTCTCCCTTGCCTGCGGTTCTTTGGGTCCGGTCCTCCAGAGCGGTGCGTATTGTTGCAAACTTTCCTAAAAGAGCAACACAGTCGTGCAGCACGTCCTTTTCAGGATGGCGCTCCGACTGTGCGTTTCTGGATGCGGGGGTTTCCTGGCTCCGGATGATGGACACGATCACTGCATTGCATGTTTGGGGGTCCAGCATGTTAATGCGGTGCTCGCGGGCGGTTCATGTCGTCATTGCGATGCCATGACCGTTGCACAGCTAAGATCGCGGCTAACTTTCGCAAGAGAGCGAGCCACCCCAGTTGCCTCCTGTTCTAAAAAAGCAGCGGGCGCTCGGGCAGATCTGAGGGTTTCAGCGGGAGATAATCCGCCGCCCACGGGCTCGCGGACCTCTCGCTCCTCACGGCGCTCCATCCAAGCTTCGGGTAGTGGGAGTGATCCGTCTAACCAGATGGTAGCTCTCACACTCGCTGACACCAGAGATCAGATGTCCTCCGCGGCATCGGAGGGTGGGCTTTCACTGTCCGAC